CCCCCCCAACCCCTCAGCTTCCTGGTTCCAGGCTCAAGGGACCCTGCCCACTTCTGTCCTCTAGTTTTCTTCCTGGGAACCAAGGAACAGCAAAAGTCGCAGCAGTCCTCCCAGCCATCCTGCCATAGCAAAGGGAATCCCAGCTCTTGGGGCTTTCCCCTTGACCCTTGAAGGCTGGGCTCTTGAGAGAAGAGGGAAAAGAGCCTGAGGATTCCCCACTGGGGAGAGTCATCCTCCCACAGTTTATCCCTACTTTTCCGAAAGGCTAAGCCAACCACGGTGGCCGCCTGCATGCCACACTTGGGTAGGCGGGGTGTGGGAGGCTGCACTTTGCTCTGTCTTCTGAACTAATTATCATGCAATTTCAACATTATAAATAGCACAGGCACCTCATATTATGTGCTTCCTGATGTGGTGCAATAATCTCCAGTGTAGTATCCTTGCCAAAAATGTGTAATATGAATCTAATCTTGAGGAAGCAATCAGATAAAATCCAGAATATGGTGCTATTAAAACTGGCCTGGACTTAAAAAAAAGAAACACACAAAAAGGCTGGGTGTGGGGCAGAGAATACTCTTCTATATCAGAAAAGACTAGAGCTATATAACCAAATGCAGTACGTGAACCTTGCCTCCTGAACGAAAATTTAAATGCAAAAAGGACATTCTGGAGACAAGAGAGAATGATACTTGAATTACTGTTGATTTCCTTAGATGTGCTAATGGTGCTATAATTGTGTGAAGCAGGGTTTCTCAACTTCAACACTTGACATTTGGGGCCAAATAATTATGGGATTTTTGCAGCATTTCTGGCCTCTGCCCACTAGATGTCAGGAGCACCGCCCATTCAATTGCAACAAGTAAAAATATTTCAGATAGTAATAATGGTTGCATCATGTCATGAATATACTAAAAAACACTGGACTGTACAGTTTTAAAAGGTTAAAATTGTGAATTTAATATCATGTGAGTTTTTTCTCAAAAATTTAATTTAAAATGTCTCCATTTGACATACTCAAATGTCGCGTGGGGGACAAAATCGCCCCCAGGGGAGAACCACTGGTGCAGAGAGTACACTGCTGGGGGCGGGGAGCATGCAGATAAAAGGATTTGAGAGAGAAATGTCTTGTTTGTAACTTACTTTCAAAGGACAAATGTGGCAAAATATTAACCATTAGTGAAACTAGGTGACAGGTGTTTGGGTTGTTTATTTTACTATTCTGTCAATTTTCAATAGATTTTAACTTTTTTAAAAAACCAAAAGAAAAGAACTCAATTTCAAAGTTTCTGTTTACAACAGCCCAAGGGACCCATGACAGGTGCCAACTGTGCAGCCCCCTTTCAAGTGTTATTATTGTAAGTCTACATTGGTTGAGTTGCTCTGGTCCTTCAGCCTTCAAGGGAAGACTCCTCTCTCATCTGCTCTACTTCCTTCCCTCTCTACCTCCCTCCCTATCTCACTCCAAGACTGCCAAGAACATATCGGTCCAGTGCTAATCACTGACCTATTGAGAGAAAGGCATCCCATGGACCATTATTCACCAAGACTGGGTGCAGATGATGAGCTATGTCAATTCCTTTTTGTATTATCTCCTGTGGTGGCTTTAAAACATGGTGACAAAATTCTTTAGCACTTGTCCCATTAAGAGATGGGATCGACATTCCCTCTCCTTGAATATGGACTCTGTAACTGCTTAACCAGTAGAATATGGTGGAAGTGACACTGTACCAGTATCCAGATGCAGGCTGTAAAAAACTAGTATCTGTCATTTCCAGACTTGCTCTTGGGACCCAGCCGCCATGCTGTGAGGAAGACCAAGCTGCCCTAAGGAGAAGCATATGTGGAGAGAAGCAGCACACAGCACCAACTTGAAAGCCACGTGAGTCAGTCATCTTGGAAGTGGGTTCTCCAGCTCCAGCTGATGCTGTATGGAGCAGAGACAAGCTGTCCCTGCTGAGCTCTGCCCATTTTGCAGATTTCTGGGCAAACTACATGATTGTTGTTTAAGGCACTCACTGACTTTTGGAGTGGTTTGTTTGCAGTGATAGATAACTGATGCATCCCCACCTCCCCAAACTGGGGGCCCCAGGTTTGGAAGGTAGGAAGTGGTCCAGCTCTCGATCCCTGGAGCTAAGACCTAGGTCAGCACTTACTCCTTTAACAGGCACTTATTGAGTAGCCACCAAGTGCTAGACACTATACCAGGCATTGAGGAGTTAGCAATGAATGAGATAGATCACCCTGCCTGGTAGGCACAACTCAGGCATAGTAATGAGAGGACTGTAGCCTCAGCCTAAGGGAGGGGGAGGGAAAGCTGTCTTCCTGGGGGAGGGTATTTCTAAGCTGACACCTGACTCAGGAAAAGGAGTTAGCCATGCAAAGTAGCAGGGAATGGACAGATGGAACACCATGTGCTAGTTCTGGGTAAGGTTGCCAGGTTTGGCAAATAAAAAATGAAAATTTAACACCCGGTTAAATTTGAACTTCAGATAAACAATGAATACTTTTTAAATTTTTATACATATATGTGTGTATATATATAAAATGTCTGGCCCATGGAACATTGGGGACAACCTAAAAGGTTATTCATTATTTCTCTGAAATTAAAGTTTAATGAGAGTCCTGCGTTTTATCTGGTAACCCTAGTGCTAGGGCAAAAGAGAGAGAAAATGTGTGATTTCAAGGGACAGTTCAGGAAGCTGGATGCAGCCCAGTGGCAAACAGAGCATAGAGTGAGAGGTTAAGGTGAACAGGAGCAAGATCATAAAAGGCCAGCTTGCCAAGGTCTAATGTGAATTTCACCCTGAAGCAGTGGGGAGCCATGGGAGGGTTTAGAGCAGGAGAGTGACACAAGTAGACTTGTGTTTTAGAATGATATTTTGGGCAACCATATGGAGGGGAGGGGAGGGGAGAGCCTGTAGGCAGGGAAACAGGGAAGGAGTTCCTTGCCCTGCAGTGCTCATACTCTGCACTGTAACCACAAGGCTATGAGAATGTTGGTGGACTAATTCCCCTTTACATTTTTCTTTTCTACAATATAAGTTCTTTTAAGCTATAATTTTTCCTCTAACCGTTGCTTCGTATATCCCACAAGTTTTTGTATGTTTCGTTTTGTTGTTCCATTTAGGATATTTTATAATTTCCCTTGAAATATCTTCTTTGACCTATGGATTCTTTAGATGTGTGTTTTATAAGTTCCAAATATGTGAGATTTTTTTCTGTATATCTCATTGTTATTTCTTTTAATTTCCTTCCATTGTGGTCAGAGAATGCACTCTGTACGTTCTTTAAATTTTATTAGAATTGTTTGATGGGTGAACATAACAATGCATCCTGGTGAAGGTACCATGTTTGCTGGAAGAGAATGTGAGTGCCACAGGGGTTGTGTTTAGTGCTCTGTAAATGTCACTTACATCAAGTTAGCTGACAATGTTCTTCTGGTCTGTGTTTTTCCTCATTATTTAGTCTGGCTGTTTTAGCCACTGATGGAAGTAGGGTGCAGAAGTCTTCAGTGATTATTATAGATTAGTTCCTCTCTTTTTTGTCAGTTCTTTTCTTCAATGATTTTGAAGCTCTGTTATACTAGATACATACACATGTATGATTATCATGACTTCTTGTTGAATGGCTCCTTTATCCATATGGGTTTCCCTCTTTAGATCAGATAACACCCATTTTTTTGACGCCTATCTTCTCTGATATTAATAAAGCCACTGCAGCTTTCTTATGCTCACTGTTAGCTTGGTGTATTTTTATCCATCCATTCATTTTCATCTTATTTATGCCTTTATATTTAAAGTGGGTGTAGCCCGGCCAGAATAGCTCAGCAGTTGAGCATCGATCTATGATCCAGGAGATCGTGGTTCAATTCCCCGTCAGGGCGCATGCCCAGGTTGTAGGCTT